CTTTGGTCGCTTGCTCCGTTGATCTGATTGTAGTGTCCTTTGAGGTCTTCTGTGCTTTAGTGGGTTGCATTACTTCTTCCGGAGTTAAACGTCGTAGTGTTTGTCGAGGTGGTGCTGGGAGTGGTGGATGTTGTCGTCCGGTTGGTGAAGTAGCCATCGGACTGTCCGGTAGCGGTCGTGAACTTGACGTCGATGTTGACGGAAGTCGTGGAGGTGATGTAGTGCGTTGTTGTTTTGCTGCGGGTTCAGCAACGATGTCGTCCGTAGCGTTCGTTTGTTGTCCGAAATCTTGCGTGGACCTTCTTCTCTCTGACGGTGGTAGTTGCGCATCCAACAGTGTTGCGAACGATGGGTTGTAGGTGTTCCGTCGTGGTGCCCACGGTGTGCCGGAAACTTTGTTCAATAGTGCGAGGTCGTATTTGAAGTCCGGTTGTAGTCTCCGCACTGTTCGTGCCTTTTGTACGCCTGATTCCGTTGCGACGTAGTTTTCTCCGGTTTCGGAAACTTTTCCGAGCCAGATGCATTTCTGCATCCGTAGGTCTCCTTTTGGGAGTTTCTTGTGTTGTGGTGGAAGGTAGAGTAGTGTCTCGCCAAATTCGCAGATTGCTCGCTCGTAGTTTCTTCCCCAGCGGCGTTCGAAGCTTGTGTAGCTGTCTGAGTGAATGACGTAGCGATTTACCGTCCATGCTGCGTGTCGTACTATCCAGGGTAGTAGACAGTGCTTTGTGGACATCGTCATGCTGTAGTTGCTTTCAACCTGAGCTTTGACGACGCGGATTTGTCCGAGAAGTGTTCTATGTAGTCGCTCAACGCTTCCTTGACTGTTGCTGCTGTAGGATGGTGAATGTTGTACAGTCATTGAGCCGACTTTAGATGCTGTTGCTTGTAGTAGTGCATTGAGTGTGTCTTCGTTGTCGCTTTGTAGTATGCCGTGTGTTCTTCCGCATTCAAAAATGAATGCTTGTAGGTTGTTGATCATGTAGTCCATCATTGATGGTTTGTCCGGAACCAATACCGCCATGCACAGTTGTGTAGTAACATCAACTGCCGTTAAGACTGGTATGGTCTTCGGATCTTGTTGTGATTTGATGTAGGCAAAATCCACTTGGGTGATGGGTTGTCGTGATTGTTGTTTCTTGTAGTTGTCCTGGCGTCCTTTGCCTTGAACGCAAATTGGACACCAATTTCTGTATGGTAGGTGTGTCAAGTTGTGTTCTGCTATTTGTTGTGGAGTGGGCTTCTGAGGTTGTCGTAGTCCTATTGCTCTGTGTGCTTCATGATGCTCGTGTTGTTGTTCCTCATCGTGGTTCTCCTGGATGTACTCGTAGTCTTTCTTCACGGTGAACCTTGTTGTTCCTTTCCATTGAAATGGTAGTGCTGCGTTGCCCATGACTGTCCAGTCATCTTTGCGTTGGGAAACTTCTCCAAAGTTGTTGTGAGTGATTGTAGTTCTGTGAGGTTCGAGTGTGCTGATTGGTGGATGTCCTGGTCCATCTGTTGGAGTGAATAGAGTTGTTCTAAGTGTTGTGTGGTGTCTTATCCAGTGTTCACCTTGTCTTTCCCAGTAGTCTTGGTTGTCCTCCTGTGCTGTGAGTGGTCTGTGGATTGTCTCCTTTGGTTGTGTGGTGTCAAGATTTGTAGAAGGTGCTGCTTTAGGTCTCCATATCTTTTGTGTTGCTCGTAGTTGGATCTTTGATCTGGTTGGTGGTGTGTCCATTAGCCGTTGTGGTTGTGAGCTCTGCCTTGTTGGTGTGGTCTTTGATGTTGCTCTGCGTGTAGGTGCTATCTTTCTTCTGAATCTGGTTTCTCCAGTCCAGTTGTCACCTTCTAGTCTTCGTTGTAGTTCTTGCTTGGAAAGTTGTGTTGGGTTCTCTTGTAGTTGTTCTTGCTCTTGCCCTTGTCTGTTGATGATGGTTAGTCGCCAATCATCTAGTTCTTCTTCAGGTATTGGGCAACCACTGTTGTGTGGTGTTAATAGTGCTTTGCGTGGTCGTTTGTGTACTCTGATGGCGTAGTCACCATCAAGTTTCCAGTAGTCAGTGTTTCCACCAAGGATCTGTCGTAGTCCTTGGTCTGTGTGTGTGAGTGGTGCGATTTGTTCTTGTTGTTGCGCTGCTCTCTCTGTAGGTTGAATCACAGCAATGGATTTTCCACTGTCTGTAGTCATTGGATAGATGTCGAATCCTGTAGGGATGTCGATCTTCTCTGCTCGTAGGTAGAAAAGTCCTGAGTGTCTGATGAGGTGTGCGTGTTGTTGTCCATGTGTGATGGTGCAGTGTCGTGGAGTGAAGTCAAGTCCATATCCTCTATCAAGTAGTCTTGATGCACTGAGGATTGGGTACTTCACATCACAAACGTAGTAGGGCATCATGATCCTGAAGTTGTCCTGCTTGTAGGGAACGTACTTGATGCCGTAGACAGGAATCTTCTTGTTGGTAACCGTGTAGAGTTGTGGAACCGATTCTCCACAAGGTCGTAGCGGTAGGTCTGGTGCGTAGTCCTTCGGGCAAACGTGTGTAGACGCTCCTGAGTCGATCAGCAGGTGGTGGTGTGACTTGAAGTTGGAGTACATGATGTAGTGTGTGATAGTGTTCTCAATCTTCTTGTTCCTTTGTTGTTGTCTGGCTGCTGCTATATCAAAGTGTGGCTGTGTGTTGTCTTCTTGTAGGAATTGTTGAAAGCTCTTGCTGTGGTCGTTCCATGATGTTGTGTGTGTTGTTCTCTTGCCAAGTAGTGATTTGGATTTGTGCTTGTGTAGTCGTGATTTTGCTTGTCTGATGTGTCCAATGGTGAGGTGTGACTCGTTGATGCCTCCAATGTAGTTCGCTGTGTCCTCATAGCTGTTGTCATTCCAATCCCAGCTGTTGTCATAGTCGTAGTCGTTCCAGTTCTCCTCCATGTAGTTCACCTCGTGTTGTCCTTCTTCCCCTTCGTAGTACCAGTCCCAAGTGTCGTTCACATCCTGAGGTAGTTCTTCATTGTTGTCGTGATCTGCTTGTTCTTGTTCTAGTGGATGTAGTTCTTCTCCTTCTCCTATGTGCCATACTGGCACTCTGCAGTCTTGTGCCCAGTGGCCTGGTTTGCCACATCGATGGCATGTTGTGTAATTGTTGTTTCCTTTTCCTTTTGATTTGCTGTAGTTTCCTTGGCCTTTGTAGCCTTTGCTTGATCCATGTCCTTTGGATCCTGAGTAGCCTTTTCCTTTGTTCTTGTTGTATCCTCCTTTGTTGTAGTTTCCTTTGCTGCCTTTGTCGAATCCTTTGTAGTGGCCTTTGCTTCTGTACTTACCTTTTTGTTTCCTTTGTAGTGTCCTTTGCCTCCATATTTGCCTTTGCCTTTGTAGTTTCTTCCTTTTCTCCAAATGTTGTCCACGTCCATCGGTGCTGTCCCACCATTGTAGTTTGTGCCAACTGCTGAGCTCGCTCTTGAGAATGCAGAGATGGTTTTGTAGTAGTCCAGGATGACAACTCTGATCTCGTTGTAGTTCGTGATCTGTCCAGCACGTAGTTGGAGATGCTGTTGGAGTGCTCCTTTGGTCTTGTTGAGTAGTATTGCAATCTTTACTCCATCTGGTAGTGCTGTGCCGTTGTCTTTCTCGTAGCGGTTGATGTCGTATTCCCACTGTAGGAATTGTTCTTCAAATTGTGCTTCATTGAATGTAGGTTCCAGTAGTTTGGTGAGGTAGCCAACACTGCGTGTTCCTACTGGTAGGCTGAACCTGTTGTGCAAAAGCCGTAGTGTTTCACATCCATTGGCATTGTAGCGGTTTTGTCTAACCACTGTAGCTGCTGCTCCTTGGCAGATGTTGATGAGGATGTAGTGTAGATCTCGTGAGAGGTCTACTGCTTTTGCTGCCTGTGTAGGGTCGCGTATGTGGGCTCTGATGTCTGCATCTTCAATTTGTCTTGTAGCTGCTTGTGCTAGTTGTAGCACCATGTCGAAGTCTCGGTCGATAAGTCCGAGATATGCTTGTAGTTTGAACAGCCACTCTTCATACTGTGAGTAGTCACCAGTGAAGAACGGTGGTGGCAGTTTGTATTTGTGTAGCCTTTGGACGTCTTCCTGCTCCTGTGTTGTTCCCGTAGTTGTGGCTCCTATTGTCTCTTCTGCTGTGGGCCCGTTGTCTGCTCCTGTAGTTGGTTGTGCTGATGCTGCTGCTGGTTCTCCTGACATGCCGTAGTAGTTGGGCATGTTGGTTGCCTGTGCAGTTGTAGTACTTACTGCTGTTACTGGAGCTCCCCTATGTTTAGGATCTCAGCTCCGCTACCACGTTAAAATACGTTGATACTTTACTTCTAGTGCAAGTGTTGTTGTTCAGTTATCACAAACACAAATGTAGTCAGCCAGCATGCACTCTTTTCCTGGTAGACTCAAGGCCTGCAGTCGGGTAGTGTACATCATGCATGCACAAGTGACAAGTAGTGCAACATGATATTTGACAAGAGAGAGAGAGAGAGAGAGAGAGAGAGACAGGGAGAGTACACTTCGCATCCGTACTTTCACGACCATGGAAAAAAACATGTTTTACTTCTGTCTGCATTGCAGATGACTTTTTGCGAGAGGGTGTAGAATCCTTTTCCAACTTCTAACCTCAAGAGGAAAGCTCACAACATGCGTCTTCCCAAAAAGCATAGATCTCTTCATTTTCCTTGTGCGTCCGGAACCTAACTTCGGCTCTACTAGATCTTCCAACTTGCAGCTGGAGAAGTGCAGCGGCCCCAGCGGCCTTGCCTCTTGCTTGACGAGCATTTAGCACGTCCGTGTCACCATCAGAATGTTTGCTTTGATTTGCTCTATCTCTCTTACCCAGCTAGCCACATGTCAGGCACATGTGAATCACGAGAAGCACCTGACATTGACGGAGCCCAATCAGAACCATACAAAGAATCCAATGGGCTGCCGCACGTGTATCTGCTTGCAACCATCCCCCCAACCTTCACTTCCACGGATTTTAACCGTGGTTTATCTGGCACTAATGCTGCTCAGCCCATAAGCGCCGGACTGCATTGCACGACCGCTCGTAAATGTCGCTGGACCCCTTTATCAGGACTCCAATGACCTTAAGAAAGCAGCTCGCTCAGCCGCCCAGCTTGCTCTGATTTGTGGGGTCCCCACAATGATGGCATCTGGCTTGTGGTGTCCTTGGCACTTCGTGGCAAATGGGTTCTGTGATTGTTTGTTGGGGAGGCCAAAGGAAACCCTTCAAGCCCACTTTTGGGGGGGGGGGCGCCCATCTTGATTGTGCCCCGCACTCAGAGTTATTCTCGCGCCACTGACCAGCTCCAGAGCTCCTGGAACCGCCTCAGCGTGTCTTCTTTCAAGATAGCCTCCTAAACTGGGCTAGCGGGAAACGAAATGGAAACCATCATGGTGTCCAATTGTTGGCCCGCCTGTTGTTGGTGTTCCCAAAACAATTGGCGCCTCAATTGTCTAGGAACCCAAATGTCCAAGGCTGCTGCCATCTTCAGGATCTGTGAGCCAGAACCTGAGCCATATCAAGCTTGCGGGCCTACGGGCTTCCGCCGGGAATAAGCTGGAAGCTGTACCAACACCAGCGCTCTTGTGAGGCAAAAAAAAAGAAGCACAAATCCCCACAAGCCATCAGGAAATGCCGTCGCATTTAATCCCCAATTCAAACCTCTGAAGGATGACTCTGAGCATGGCTCGTTGAAGCTCTGTCTCCGCGGCATTTCGCAGCTCGTCCACCTCGGCTCGGCCAGCGCTTGGAGCCGTGTGAGCAGCGGACATTCCAATTGATGCCAGACATGCCGGACCCAAGCTTACCCCCAGGTTGAGTGCAGACCTCGGCAAACCTCTCTGAGATGGCTGCAAAGTACTGGTTCCACATGGCATACACGATGCCAATGCGGAGGTTTGAAGGCTCCAGGCCTCAGAATCCGAACGTCCGCCCACAGATTCTCTGCCTGTGGCCTGAGCCCAGGTGAAGGAGGGCAAGGCCAGGAGTCCAGAATCAAGGCAAAGGCCCAATCGAGGCAAACAATGTATGCATGGATGATGACAAGTTGCTTTGAACCACAGATTGGCCTTGGGCATGCTCAGCTGGTCGCTCGGCTCTGGGAGTTTAAACGTCTCAAGCACCGTCCGGTGATGAAGCCTGGCGACAGGCGACCGACTTCCGGGCGCTGGCAGCTCGGCTTAAACCGACAAGCTGAGGTCAAAGAATGCCATGGCCTGAACTGCCTCCAAACCCATACCATGGCCCGTATAGCCGAACAAAGCACATAGCCAAGGGGTATGGTTGCCTCCCAACGAGTTGAATGAGATACCAAACAGATGTCCAAGACCGCACAAGAATTCAGAAGCCTTCATCCATGAATGCATGAGCCGCTGGTGTTGGGCAGAATCCAGCTCAGAGACGTGCGTTGCGTGAGCTCCCTTTGATGTGAGTCTCCCCATCAAATTGGAGATGTCTCAAAATTGAAGACCCTCCGTTGGATGGTCTGTAGAGGTCAGAGGGAGCCAAAAGCAAACCAACATACAACTGGCTTACGCTTCCCTCTTAGGACACACCCATTGATCCATCCTAGCCAAATTCTGCGGGCCTCTCTTTCTTCGTCTTTAGGTAGGCCATGCTCTGCTCGCAAGGCACGGAGGGGATGGCGACAACCTCAAGGCCACTGTGTGAGGCTGTAAACCTCCAAAGGCCGCAGTACCAATGATATGGGTTGTACGCTCTGATCGAGGGTACTTCTTGTTGGGTTGCGTTGAAGGGACACTAAGGGACACCACTCATCAAGTTGCTGCATTTTGCGACGAAGCCATCGCTGTTCAATTTAATGCTGGAGATGAAACATGCAAGCCACTGCACTTCGCATCAGACAAACATGCCCTTTGGAAATCCATCTACCAGCATAGCAGCATATCCCAGCGTGGAGCCCGTGGAAAGCCGACAGGGCGTGCAAAAAAACAAGCGCGGGTGATATCCCCAACAGCGTGCGCCGCTCTTTCTCGACCCTCGCGGAACCCTGCGAACCTAACCTCAGAGCCCTCGCAGAACTCTGCGGAACCCTGCGGAAACCTGCGGAAACCCTCGCTGGGGAACCTTACCTCAGAGCCGCCCCGGACGACCCCGAGACCTCCAAAACCTCCAAAGCCTTACACCAAAACCCCAAACCAAATCGGAACCTCGGGTAACTGCTCGAACCTGACACCCCGGAACCTGCGGAATTTTGCTTGACCTTCCACCATGCCCGCGCCGAACCTGACTCCAAAGCTGCCCCATGCCATCCCGAAACCTTGCCTTGAATCTTGCACCTGGCCTGGGGCACAGACCACCCTGGAACCTCCGGAACCATTGCTTGAACCTTACACCTGGCCTGCACCAGACCCTCCAGAATTGGCCTGCGCCAGACTTGCTTACACCTGGAAACCTCCCGAACCATTGTAAGACCACCCCGGAACCTCCCCGAAAATTTATTGAACCTCCAGAATCTTCCTTGAACCTTACATCTTGCCTTCGCCAGACCACCATGCACCAGACCACCCCGGAACCTCCGGAACCTTCTTTGAACCTTCCACCGTGCAAACTCCGGAACCTTTCTTGAACCTTGCACCTGGCCTGCACCAAACGACCCCGAAACCTCTGGAACCTTGCTCGAACCTGACTCCAGAGCTCCCCAAACCTTATCTGGGCTGAGACCCCTTCGCTTTTAGCTCTTGGGGAGCAAACAGAAGCAGGGTTGCACACCGGCCAAGCGCCCCAAACCCAGGGCGTCTTGATGGAATACATGAGCCTTCTCTGGGTCTACGTCTTAGGGATCAGGCCTGCGTATGCACTGCTTGAGGCCTGTGCCTCCTTGGTCATGGAGTGTAGCGCCGTCATCTTGTCCGGATTGTTAGTGTAGAGGTGGATGTTTCTCACCCTTCCAGGTGGACATGTCCCGGGTTCGAAAAAAAGGAAGGCACCAGCTGAGCACCCAACCCCAGGTCCTTCAAAACGAACAAAGCATCTCCATAAGTCCGAATGTCGACCTCAAAATCTGCACCAAGGATCAAAGGAGTGCGGCTCAAAATTAAACAGGAGGGGTTACGCAGGTTTTGGTCCACTTGTCCACTTACCAGGGTTGATTTTGGTACCGGCTTTTTGAGCCTCCGCCAAACAGAACCAAAGAAACCCCTCAGGTGCTGGCCGGAAGTCCAAGTTTGAGGTTGGCATCCACGGTGTCGTGACCTTCATCTTGCAAATGATAGGCGCCTCGAATGCAACAAATGGCTGTGGCTCAAAATTCAAGCGCTAGGGCTACGCGGTTGTAGTCTTGGGTTCCATTTAGCAAGGCGCCATTTTGGTACATTTGTTTGAGCCACAGCCAAATCAGACATGTCAAAGGCCCAACAGCTCGCACCGCGCAGGCTCGCGCAGCCAAGGCCAGCATCTTCACTGGGCCCGCGGCGGATCTTCGCAAAAAGTCCGATGCCGCGCCTCAATCCCAAAGCGGCCGGCGGAATGACTCGCGGCTTTTGAAACATGGTATCGTTGGGGGGGTTCAGTATGCATTAGTCCTTGTACGAATATTCCCAGTTCCGGATTTGAGGTAACAGCTTCTGAGAGCGAAAGTAGTATTCAAAGTGCACGTTCGCAGTTCTGACTCAATTATGACTTTGTAGCTCCCGCTCGGAAGTTGCAATCGTGAAGCGCGAAACTAGTCTAAGTCCACTTTGATCCACATGCTTGCGTGAAATGCCCGTACCCATAGACATCTCTCAAGGCGCAAGTGGAGGATGGATTCCCTACAATGGTCTGCGAGTTGACCTCACCATCAAGTCGTGAACCAGGCCAGGCCGTCATTCCCACTTCCAGGCGGACAATCTTGGTCCCCGGCCCTTCCTGGCCCTTGACGTAGAGAAGGACCGCGCAATTCCTGAGCTGCCGAATGTCCAAAACAGCTTATCACCAACGTGGCAAGGCTCAAAGCTATGGCCATGCTCAGAAGGATTGCTGAATGTGGAGGGTAAATCAAGGCGGCAAAAGCGGCAAGGTAAACCTTCTGACAAGAGGCGCTTCGTTCATGATTCGCATAAACTTGTGAAGCTGCTGGCCACAGTCACAGCCTGCAAAGTGAATCTGCATGAAAACAACAGCTTTACCGAAGCAGGGGTATCATCTAGGGACAAGTACAAACATGAAACGACTACAAGCAGAATGTTATGGCAACAAACGCGGGCAACGCCAACTAAGCTGCTGGCGCTTTGACCCAAGCACATCTCCCGTGAAGCACTCGGAGTGCACTCGAGTGGGAACACCCTCGGACAGTGTGCAGACTTTCCCAGCCACTTTGCTCTAGTTTGGGTGACATTCAATCCAAGTGTGGCACATCTTGACCATCAACTTCGCCCTTCACCACCTAGCATGACAAGCGCTAGCGCAAACTTGGTACCTGGTTCGGTACCCAAGATCACCTGGGGCGCAGGCTGCAATGATCTCAACTTTTGGATCTGGGGTGGCGTAGGCCTCGGCTTTTGCCCGAAGCTCCGATCCACATCGCCGAACGAGGAACGTCGGGCCCGGGGCCAAGAGCTTGCACTCTGCCTGGATGTCATCCACCCACATGCGGCCTCGGGCTCGGGCGAGGATTCGCCACTGCAATAATGCGTCATCCCCATACACAGCCAAGCTCCAGTCTTTGTGTCTCCAGAACCGGCTTTCCCAGTGCACCTGCCTTAGGCTCTTGCTCAAGGCACACAGGCAGTCTGATCTTTCGAACGAAACGACTTCTTGTCGATATTCTCAGAATCATCAACACGGCAACAGCAGCAACATCAGAAGTGTCAGCAGCATTGTCAGCATCACCAGCATCACCAGAATCACCAGAATCAGTAGCAGGAGCAGCAGCATCATCATCAACATCATCACAATCGCCCTGAGCGAAGCGGCAGCATCATCAGCAGCATCGGCACCAATCACGGGCATCAGTCATCAGCATCATCCGCATTATCCGCATCATCAGCATCATCACATCGTAAGCATCATCAGCATATTCTGCATCGTTATCAGGCATCATCAGCATCGTTAGCACCACTGGCATCACTGGCATCACCGTCATCAGTCATCACCATCAGCCGTCAGTATCATCAGCAGCATCAGCATCAGTCAGCGGCATCAGCATCCCGCGCATCATCCGCACCATCGAAGCCCGTGCTGCAAGACGTGAAAAGTCAGAGCCAGGTAGATAAGAAAAGCAACCAGAACTGCCAGAAAGGCATAAGCCAAGTGATGCCTAAGCGATAGGCCTGAGGCACAGACTGGAATGTGGGTGCTGATGCATTCTGAATGAGCCATCGAGCCGAGACTTTGCCGACCGCCTGAAAAGCAAAAAAAGGGCTGGTTTCTAGTGGCCCGGAAGGTGCGTATAGGCTGCAGCTTGTCTCGGGAGTGAATCGTGAGATTGGCTGTCTGTGTTGAGATTGGGCAATTGGGCAGTGGAGCAATACTTCGCATTGGTGTCATGGCTTGCTACAAGACTGGAGCCAGACAGCCCAACACAAGCTTCCCAAGGCACGGCAAAGATGAATCAGCAAGAGACGCAGAACCTGACCCCCTCTTTGTCACCTCAGGCAGGCGGCTTCCTTCCACGGCGTCGGCTCCTGAAAACAGCATGGTCCAAGCACTCCCCAAGGCGCACACGAGCTGCGCCTGCTTCGGGATCTCTTAGTACTTCTGCTGCGATTGCTTCGATGTCGGCCCTTGTCCTCGTGCTTGGCACCTTCCGTGAGGCCAATCTCGTATGCAAAGGTACGTGAGCGCACAAAGTGCCCTCGTATCCATGAAAGTCTGTCCGTGGGCAGTTGATGGCTTTCAATCACCAACTTGCTTGCCTGACTCTGTCCGGGCGTGCCCCCGGCGCCCTGCAAGCTGAGCACATGCTGGCAATCTCGCAAACAAAGCCCCGCCTGGCGATCTGGACCGCACCTTCCGGCGCGGCACCTACAGCGCAAGGCCCACGGCCCACGCGCAAGCAAAGGGAAAATGGGGAAATGCAGCAACAATAACCTCGTCTTGAATCAAACCAGCTAGGGCGCTGGCACTGTGGTCCCGGTCCCGGCGTGGCGCCGAGGTCAGGGTGATGTTTCTGGGCGGAAAGCGGTCGGGGCGTGGGCCTCTCTGCCGGACGTCTGCAGAATCCACCTGCGGCTTTTTGCCAACGCGTCGCCGCTGAGCGCCCGGGGCGCTGCTAGGATGCCCTACGCTTCCCATGCAGACATGGGCCTTCTGGATGAAGCCGCCCAGCCGCGGTCGATTCATCGGAGGCCGCGGTCCAAGTGCAGCGCTGGGGACACCTCAGGCCATTCTGCTAAGATGGGTGTGAAGGAAACCAAGGCACTGCCCATTTTGAGGGTTCGCTCATTGTGGTTTACCTAGTGGCAGGATTTGGGGAACCCGCACCTACAGAAACCCAAGGCGAATCCCAGAGTGGAAGCACAAGAAGGATGACCAAGAATGACCAACCCAAAAGTCATGCCAGCCAAGCCGGCCAAGGACAACATCATAGATCTCTGTGGACTGCATTGCCGATACTCTCGTGTTGTCTATGCACCTCCATAAACAGTCAGCGCTGGCCGAACCCCGCTCCAGGCGCCAATAGACCTCAGTTCAGGGCAAAGCAAAAGCTAAAGACATGGAACCCTAACCTGGGCTCAGGGCGAGCGGTTGAAGGGCCGGACTGCCTTCCAAGTGACCCGATGCTCGTGTGTCGTCGAGCTGATCGCAAGGTCAGCTCGGATCTGACTTCGGAATCTTTGGATTCCGGACAACGAATGGCCTGTCGTGCTTCTGCTTGCTCAGGCGCCCGTTCAGGTGGACACGTGTTTGGTCGGTGGTCAGGACTGTGCCGTGCCGAGATCTGTGTGGTTGAGAGTGCGTTTGCCTGTGGGTGTGTGTGTATCGGAGAAGCTGCTCGCCTGCAATGTTGCTGCTGCTCACATGTGTTCCTGGCGAAGCTGGCGACGCTGTGGTTGGGCAAGGGCACCAATCAAATGCCCTCAGACCGCTTTGGCTGGCTTGGTGAAGCCACCAACTCCTTCTGAGATTCTCGGGGCGATGAAATGTTTAAGTGATCTCAGCCTGCATCAAGCTTAAGGCTTGCTTTGCTAAGCGTCTTCCGCAGGTTGAGTGTCTGTTGCAGTGTGGTGGCGGCAACGCTCGTTGCACCTGTGCAATGCAGCTTCTTTTTGAAAGAATTTCGGCATCTGGACCGCATCAATCCACGGCTTCACGAACACAAGTCGTAAGCGGACAGGCCCTGTGAGCTTTAAGATTCTATTGTATCCAAGACACAAACCAAGTCAAGTTCCAGAGGCTGAACAGTATAGTCACCCAAAGGCAAGGGGGCAAGGCCTCCAAACTTACAAACCACTGCATTTCCCGAGGCACGGCCAAGACAATCGGACATCATCAAAACTCCGTTGGCAAGGGAGCTGACACATCTTCGGATGCGAGCCGGTGACCCCACCTGTCGCGGTGCTGCCATGGGCGGCCTCCGCCCCTTGGACCTCAGTTGCCCGAGGCATGCAAACCTGGCAGAGTGTTTGGCATGAAAATGAAATTGACAGGTCTCAAAGCGGCAGAGCTGCTTCGCCTCTAGTTGGTTGACCCTAAATGGCGTGTCAAGTGTTGTCCCCATACAAGCTGGAACCCATTTCTTAGCACCCGTTTCGGATCCCCTGATCTAAGTCTCTGCGGATTCAGGCACAGTCAGCACGCTGAGGGCTCTGCTTGTTCTTGCCTTTACCTTTGCCCTTTGGCATCATGGAGGCCACCCGCGCCACTTGAGCAGATGGCCCAGAAAGTGACCTACCTGGACATGGCGAAACCGCTCCAACACGGGTGATCAGGGCTGCATCTGCTTGAAAAACCCCAAGGCAGACTTAAACCCAGAGGTTCTTGAGTTCCGCAGAAGGGGAACCCTAGCTAGAGCTAAGTCTACCGTGGGGCAACCTGAAACGGAACTGTGCAAGTGATTCCACCGCTGCCTGCAAGAGGAATGGGAAGAGCCTTCCGCGCAGCGCCTCAACCCCCCCGTCACATGCTGCAGCTCGCACGCTGTTCAGTGGCGCACGCAAACTCGGGCTGTCAAAGGGGTTGTCCTGGCAAAGCTGCGATCAGCAGAGCCATCCCTCGCGCGCGCACGCACATACGCACACACAAGTTGCGCATGGCTCCTGAAGTTCTCGAATGCGCCAGACTTGGGTGAAGGATCTCGTGGCGCTCTCCAGTGTCAAGCTGCCACCCTGGAACCCAGGACATGAGTTCCCACAAAGCCAAGCCACCCGGCCTTGGTCATGAGGCCGGTGCTGTATAAAATGCTTGCCTGAGCAACCATGCCAGCCACCGGTCGAGTCCTAAATATTTAGCGGCCGGCTGTCTTGAAGCCATCCTCCTTCTGCGCGCCGCAAAGCAGCTGGCCCTGGGACGCCACATCGCCGGAACAGTGGCCTTCCAACCACGGGCCTTCGCTTTCAACGCCCAGCCAACCCCACGCAAGCGGCGGATGCAACCCTCGGACGCAGTCCCAGCAGACGCCTCAAAGCAACAGGGAAGGATGGGGCAGCTCGCGACAAACAGCCACCTCAAATCGGCTCGCCAGCTCTTCTTTGATCTTTTCTGGATTATCCAGCAATTGAAGCCTCGGGTTGGAGAGACAAGTTGTTTCACGAGCACACCAAGCCCAGCAAGAGACATACATACAGCTGAGCAACTGGTCCTGGCTTTGGCACAAGGTGCCACCAATCGAGCCCTTGCACAAGTCAAACTCACGCAATGCCCCATTAACACTTTGAGCAAAGCAACTGCCTCATAAAGGCATTCTGCCGGCCTCTCCACGGGGTGGGCCAAGCACCTAAGATCACCAGCAAAACAATTGCCCGGTGGCTCAATCGCAAAAGATTGAATTTCAAACCGCCGGGATACACAGCTGAGAAAGATATTGAAAAGGCACAGTCGCCCTTGGACAAAAACTCGACAGCTTGTATACTACCCTTCAAATGTCGCACTGTGTCTTGAAATCTCTGAAACTCGCGTGCGAAGTTTCAGAGCAATGCTCCACTTCAGCGTTTTCCAAGACGTCTGTTCGATGATAAAAGTCCCCTTTCCGAGCCTTTGGCAAGGGAAACAAGGGAAAGAACCATTCATTCGCTTTTGGAATCGCTTTCCTTCTCCCTACAAACCAATGCGTAAAGATACCAAGATTAAGAGAACGGCGTGACATCAAATAGTGCACCTGGACTCCGTAAATGCTCTTAGTTGTCTTTGAGGCCTTTGGTTTTTGCAAATGAAAGGCCTCACTTGATTGCTCAAACACAGGCAATTGAGGAATTGTTGGTCTTCAGATTCTTCAACTCACTTGTGGGAATCCCCTGAAACCCCACCCCTCAGAGCAGCGGTTTCTGCTCTCCTGTGTTTCTCAGCATCTCTTTGCTTCTCTGTTTCTCATTCTCAGTGCCTCTTTGCGTGTCTGTGTTTCTGTTTTCGCTGCATTCCTCCTTGTGCCTCTTTGTGTCTCTCTGTACATCTCTGTGTCTCTCCGTCTCTCCGTGTGTCTCTCTGTCTGTCTGTCTCTCTGCGCGTTTGTGTGAGTGTGTCTCTGTGTGTCTCTGTGTGTCTCTGTGTGTCTCTGTGTGTCTCTGTGTGTCTCTGTGTGTCTCTGTGTGTCTCTGTGTGTCTCTGTGTGTCTCTGTGTGTCTCTGTGTGTCTCTGTGTGTCTCTGTGTGTCTCTCTGTGTCTCTGTGTGTCTCTGTGTGTCTCTTTCTGTCTCTTTATGTCTCTCGCTCTCTCGCTCTTTCTCTTGCTCTCTCTCTCTCTCTCTGTCTTTCTCCGTCTGCTTTTTCTTTCTCTCTCTCTCTCTCTCTCTGTCTTTCTCCGTCTGCCTTTTCTTTTTCTTTTTCTCTCTCTCTCTCTCTCTCTCTCTCTCTCTCTTTCTCTCCCTTTCGCTTCCTGCTTTCTGTCACCAGCTCAAAGCTTTGCGGTGTTTGTGTTTTCTTTCTCCGTCTACGTTCTTTCTGTCTCTTGCCCACTCACTCCCCCTGCTTCCTCTTTGCCGCCTCCTGTTGTAGAGACTGACAGTTCATCCTCTTGACGCACACGCATCGACTGATATCTAGTGTCCGAAGCTTGATGCTACCGGCACTTGACACAGATGGGATTGAGCGTTAAAAGCGAGTGAGAGAAGGGGCTGCGGAAGCTGCAGAGGATTCGGGCCATGAGCCCCTGACAAAATGATTGGTTCCCCAAAACGTGGAAATTTTGGAGTGCCCTGGTTTTTGCAGTTTTGTTGGGGTGTCTCCCAATCCCGCAGAGAACAATAGACGACACCATTTTGTTGTCAGTTGCTCATATGGGCCCCTATAGGGCAGCCTGTTGAAGGCCTCAAGGCATCCCCGAACCGAATCTGAGAGCAACCCAGGGATTCTCCGTAGCCATCAAAGCTACACAATGTCAATCTCCGAACCAAACCCAAACAAACATTTCATCAAATCATCTGCCCCACCTTGAGGAACCTGAGCCAAACCAAGACTCCCCAGCTCAAAGGAGACTTGACCATGGCGACGGAGCGTGGGCTGATCGTTGGAATTATTTAGTCAATGTAAACTTAACAAAGGGACGCCTTTGCCAACCTCCCAAAACTGTGTCGACTGCAGAAACCCACCGACCCACCCCTCGCCTGCAAGGCCACATCTTGGCACACGATCCACGCCCCGGCGCGCAGGCCGCAGGAGGGCGGCACAGAGCCAGGGCCCGCGGCCTGCGGTTTGCGGCTTCGACGGCAGTTTGGGCGTTCGGATGGTTTCTGGATGGTACTTCGGGCAGTCCGCTAGCCAGCAGCCACCAGGTCAGCCGTCCAAGTAGGGAAGGGCTGAGTTTCAAAATGTCCTTCTTGGAACCGTCTCGCTGCACATTACCGTAACCACGACCACCATAAGAGACCTCTCCACCGTCTCAATGCAATACGGGACAATGACAGTCAAAACACAAATGCCCAAGCTGAAAAAATGCTGCAGAGGGAAAATTAGATTTACGTACCAGCATGCCAATTCGAAGTTCGGGCAGTTCGAGCAGCCACCCACCAAAAAGCCCGTTTTAGCGAATTTGAGAGGGAAACGGGAAACCCCTCAAATCGTTCCCGGCTATCGCAAACTTGCACCCAGCATGCTCCGCCCTGTTCAGCGTGTTGGTGTTTCTCAAAAGGAAGGTCGACCCATGCCAGGTTTCCTCTTGCAGCCACGTCAAACAAGTGACCAACACCATTCCTCGGGTAGCCACACCCACCGTTTCGCCAGCCTTTTCCCTTCCCGCCTGCTCCATGAGCAGCTCCGCCGCCGCGATGGGCGCCTCCTGCTCGGAGATCCGGCGCCAGGCCACGCCTCGGAGAGGCGCTCTGAGAGGCGCTCTGGGGATCCACGCACGGTGTGCGAATGGACTCCACTGACAAATACAAATGGCCATGGGTCAAAATCCAAATCGTAATCTCAGTGAACATCAAATCCAAATCGTACCCCCAGTGAACATCCCAACCCCCACTAAAGTAGGTTCTAAAATGGGTGGTGCACCTACCCCAAAATGGTACCATTGGTTTTGACCCACAGCCAAACGGACTCCGCCGCAACCTGTGGATTCAACCTATGCGCAATTCTCAAAGCCGACTTTGGTGCCGTTTGGGTTGGCTCCCTTTGTCTGTCGCTGGCTTTTGTCCCCCAGTCTTGAGTGTACCAATATGTTCTGATTTATTGGCGTTGGAATCCATCAGTTTGGGCGATGCCCTGGCAGGCGCAAAATTTCTTTCAGGTATCCGCGAAGAAACGGCCGTATTTTGTGCCCATGGAATTGGGGTTGGAGGTTATACTGAAACCTGTATAGCCTGTTCCCAAGTAGCTGGGAAAGTGGTGTTCCGTTTTCAGTCGAGAAAAGATGGGATATTTGGCGAAAACATGTCACTGGTTTCAAGATCTGTCGAAACCACTTTCTTGGACGTCAGGAAAACTGAGATCAAGCCTTTCTTAAACCAAACGCAAGCGGCCTTCCGGAGAGTCGTGCATCTCATTGCCAAGGACCTGGACAGCCAGACACAAAACTCAAAATTCCACTTAAGGGCGCAGCCCCCAAAACACGTAGGCGTCCTTCTTCCAGCCAGCACCGGTTTTTAGTTTCCCTGCGAAATCTGCGCCCATGTTTCCATATTTTCGAACCACGTGGGTCCCCAGAAAAACGCCCCAGCCACGCCTGTGAGGTGTGATGTGCCTGTGGCCTGCAAGGCTCCGTGTCCACCTGAGGATGACAGACAGTGGTTGCGGCATTGTTCGTCGAACATGTTTGGAGTCCCCCTATGTTAACACATACACATTTGGCCATGGGTCAAAAGCCAAATCGTACCCCCAGTGAATATCCCAATCCCCACTAAAATAGGTTCTAGAATGGGTGGTGCACCTACCCCAAAATGGTACCATTGGTTTTGACCCACAGCCACATACCCATTTGGATGCCTGTGTTTTTGAGGGCATCCTTGTCAGGTTGGTTTGCATCAAGGGGAACCAAACGAAAAGCCACCGTTCGTCGGGGGTTCCCCCATTTTGACACATACTCATTTGCTGTAGACAGCTTCCTGATTTTGCCACACGCGCACGCACACACTCACACACACACACAAACACACACGCACCCATTCGCAGAGGTCCTTATTTGTGAACGGATCCTTCCGAGTTTTGGAACAAATCCGTTTGCAGGGCCCCCTTGACACATGAGCACTCACAAAAGCCGGCGCACCGCGAACATCCGGGTGGCCGTCGGTTTGTCCTCGCTCGCCTGGCGCTGCCATCTGCTGACATCTGAAGCCCTCCTTTGGAAATGCAAGGAGCATTTCCAGGCACACGGGTCTGTCTCCATCAAAAGAAGGGCCCTCCAAACCTACCCAAAAGGGTACCAAAAGAAGGAAACCAACTCCTCTCCTTCTCCGTCCATGGGTGAAAGCCACGCAGCCGTGCCCCATCATGGCCTGCATGTCGCCGTGGCTGCTTTCCTGGCAAGTGACCAAAACACCCAAGGGCAATTCCAGATCTCTCCCCGAACTCAGAAACAAGTTCCCGCTCCTACATGTTTTCCTTTGTACCGAAGGGAAGTTGGCCTCTTTACGAGGGTTGGCCGAAGCCTGTGATTTGCCGGCAGACTCCCACGAAAATGAGCGAGTCATCCACAATGGAGATATTGCAAGTCAACCAACCACAACCCATCGGATTTTGCGGAGTTTCCCTTGTTCCCTACTTGCAATACTTAGAGACACCGTCTCTTATGAACCTCATTTGGGCTCTCAACACTGGGATGCCCTAAAGATGTCCAAACGGGCCCCATCTTGGCGCTTTACCTGCGAAGCGCTCATGGCGCACCGCGCCTCGCTGAGGCGACCAACAGCCACCCGGTAGGGATCGGAGAAGTGGACCTAAATCGAACATGGCCCATAGGGCACCCTAAAAATGACTGCGTCGCGGTGCTTTCAACACGAACCCGAAAACAGATCCCAAAGTTTAAGACACCTCCAAATGAGTATTCCACCTAAATTCGACATGGAACCAATTGCGATCATTTACCATGAGGTTCTATGTCCATCCACCAGCCTTTTCAGGCAAGTCTGTGCCCCGCTTTGGCAAGGCTCCCGCACCAGCCTTCCGTTTTGCCAAAAAGAGCGATGCTCTTCTGTTCCATCTTGGGGGGGCTGTCCCAGTTTGGAGAATCACCGGGAACCCCAAGAACCCGCCAGCTGCACCAGCTGCACCCGGGGTCATTCCTCCGCGCCTCTGCGAAGAGACCACGGCGGCTCACGAAGCGGAGGCGCCTCACCGGGGCGGCTGGGCGTTTCTTCAAGCAAAGACATCAAAAGAAGTTCCCATATGCTTAAAGAAAGAAGCAAGCCAATAGGAATTACACCAAAGGAAGATACCAAACGAAAACCACAAGAACATCAAAGGCAAACGAGAATGTCAAAGGAAATCAAGAAAAGGAAACCAAAAGGAAGCCAAAAGGAAGCCCAAAAAGAAAAACTAAACAGGGAGCCGAAAACCGAAAACCAAAAAGGAAACCAAAGGAAACCTAAAAAGGAGACCAAAAAAAGAAACTGAGAAAGAATGCCAAAAAAATATACAAAATGATAATAAAAGGAAAGCAAAAAGGAAACCCAACACCCAAAAATGAGGATCACAAAAAAGGAAATGAAAAAGGTACCAAAAAGAAGCCAAAAAAGAAAATCCAAAAAGGCACCAACAGGAAACCAAAAGCAAACCGAGAGGCAAAAGACGAAAAAAAGAAGCACTTGAAAAAGTCGAACTGGCTGCGACGCATCTCCGTTGCCTGCCTCGCTTGTTTAAGCGCAAGCACAAGCTGGCTGCTTTCAGCTTCTTCGCCTGCCGCCCAGGCCGTTTGCCGGAAAGTTGACAAGACCTTCCCCCAATTCGTGTCATGACATTGAGAACACCCCTACGGTTTTGGTGGAAGTTCCCACGAGGCACCAACTGGAGGGCTGCTTTGCTTCTTGGATCAGGTGATGGATTCCTTCTTAAACCGCCTCCCAACATGAGGATGTTGACGCGAGAACGGTGGCGATTTCCATTTGGGCCGCGGACCCTCAGGCTCAGCAGGCTCGACGTTCAACTCCTGTGAAATGTGCGCTCTGAGACTGGTGAAGCAGCCACTGGTGAAGCCTCAGAACCTGTCCTCCTCCACCCAGGCACCTGCGAACTTGTCCAAGTCTTGGAGCCGGAAGCACTTCGAGGTGTGCAAGCTCCCGAGACCGCTCAGACCAGCCTAACAGCGTCCAACTTTCGAATTCTCCCATTTGGATATGAAGCGGTTGGTATGGACCTGGACCTGTGGACCACATTTTATGCCCAACCGTTTTCGACAAGCTCTTCGGCAAGCGCAATGGATTTGGCCCTTTGAGCTCGGAGAACGCGCGTTCGGATGCGTTCCGGAGCTGGGTGCACTGCCGCCGCAAGGACAGCTGGAGAGGGGCTGCCATACACCTGGCACATGCCTTTGGGCCTCTCAAGCCCCACTCAGCCTAAGGGGAAGGCAGGAATGCCTCCGCTTTGGACACTTAGGGTTTCGACACAAAATCAAACTGGGACAAATCTAATATACTGCAACGTCCCGCCTCGTTGACAGGTCGCACGCCATGATGTTCTTGCACCAAAGCTTCTGCAATCTGTATTCGGGTGTCCGCAAAGCAGACCAAGTACCTGCAGAAAGTCCATAAATCAGGTGCTGCGCTGAAGGTGTTGACCCTTGTTGAGGTGATTCGTTGGTGGAAAGGTCACATTGCTGTAGGATCATGGGAGGCCAGCAACAGCACTGAGAGGTCAAGGTCCAGCAAGCGCTCACACCTCAAGCCACCAAAGACCCGAAGGAATCATCCAGAAACGGACTCGCCGGCCGATCAAGTTTGACGCATCGATCTGGAGAAATCAAGCCCTCCTAAGGCCACGACTCCTAAAATCAGCTCTTAAAAAAAGGGCAGCAGATGGGCAAAAAATAAGCGAGGGATGGCCGAACCAACAAAGACTTGCTCGCGAGTTCTAAGCTGGGCGCAGGTGGCTGACAAGCTGCAGGCTCGGACCACCCAGTGCCCGGAACACTGCGAACTCCTGTGGGAGTCTGGAAGATTCGATTCGGAGCGGCGCTTTTGCCCTGCCTCCTCTGCACCTCAGCGTCAGTCAAGTGCCAAACACGGTAGTCAACTTTGCAGGAGTCGTAATCAGGGTGGTTGCCCAAGTGGGAAGCTGATCCACTGTAAGGTCTTAAACAGGCCCCTTAGCTGCCGCCATTTGGGGCGCCATCGAGCTCCAAAGTCAAAACCCGCATTCCTCTCATCATTCGACAAGTCATACTTTCAACTGGTCTACCCAAAGCCAATGGCAAAGAATCGAAAGGGCGGCTGTCCGCACCTATGGTTGCGATTGTCCCCGGCTTTCATCTGGCGGTTGATGGTGGCTTAAATAGCATACATGCACTGATCGGGTGATGAGAACTCCTGACAGAAAGTCAAACTCCACATGGCTGTGGGTCAAAATCCTTTACCCCCAGTGAACATTTCAATTTTCACTAAAATAGGTTCTAAAACGGGTGGTGCACCTACCCCAAAATGGTGCCGTTGGTTTTGACCCACTGCCACATGGGCATGAGCCGTGATAAAGGAGACTTCGGTGGACACCAGGATTTACCCCGACGCAGACAGCGCGCCCGGCCTTCGGCTTCACCCCGCTGGGAGTGAGGCGAGCGCGGATGCGCCGAGTCAGTGGCAGGCCTGTTCCCATTAAGAAAAGCGACAATGGCCGGGGTTGTGCAGTTTGGCTTCCCTTCAAAAGCTGCACAAAAACGATACCACATGTACAAATATATGCATATGTATATTATATATATATATATATATTAGTACATACATTACTAGGCATGGCAGCCGAACACATGTAGGTAGCATGTTCAGTACATAGAGCAGGCATGGTTTAAGTATTTCCATTTAAGTTGCGAAGATGCTACAACAATAGCCTGATTTGCTCCATGACTCAATGACACTACTTTGGCGTAGTCTGCTCAAAAGGCTTCTGGTCGCTTTGATAGCCGAGCAACTTCAAGGCGGAACGAAACGTTCTTCCCAGGATCCAACCACAAAGGGACTCACCACATGTTCGAAGCTTGAGACGATTCACCGTCCCTACAGGCGCGGCAAACTGCGCGAGGCAGAGCCGTGTGTAGCAGCGGCCCATTGGACAATGGAGCTACGCCAGCCGGGAAAAGTAAGCGTAAACCCCAAACTAGTCGACGCCACCAACAACATCGCTGGTCAAGAGACAAGACTAAAAATGAGCAAGCGTCTCGCAGCCTCGGCCAGCTCATACTCTTTTCTTCTTCATGACTCGTGACTCATGACTGTTTCTGCATTAAAGTACGCAGCTTCGCGCGACTTGCAGCTATCTGTGGAGGCTGCACCTTGTCCAGCTAGCAAGGTCGCTGGCTAGCGTTTGAGGTATTTGCTTTTAGCATGTTAGATTTTGCCTAACTACGTAACCCATTGTCGCCACAGCACTGCCATTTTAGGCAAGAAAGCACTTTCCGTTGCCTGAAAGCAGCTGTCACGCTCGTCCATACACAAAACTTAGCCGATACATCACCGCTTTCGTCACGAGGACGTTTGTCCGCTGAAAACTAACTGTTGCGGTTTCGCGTAGCTTCCAAGCTCAAGTCAAAGCTACTCAACCGGAATTGCGGAATTGACCCGACGTACTTAGACTAAATTGGTTGACACCACCAGCATCACCCTGGCTTAAGGCAAGAAAAAGCCTTGCCGCTCACAAAAGAGTCGTGCAGGTCTGTAGAGCAATTTGATCCACACCACCAGCATCACCAGTGTGTTAGTGAAGCCTTCTTCCCGTTCACTGAATGGGCAATGCTTCAAGTTAGTCACGGATTGTTGAAACCTTGGACGATTCTCCCGAGCCTTGTGCCCGGCACCTCTTTCCATCCCAAGTTCATTGCACCGTCCCCCCCCCGTTGCCCCGGTGTTGCTTAATTTGGGCGCGGAGGCTGTATAGTTTTGATGATCTTACAGTAGGTGCACCGTCTTGGCTTTTTTTGCAGACAGGCTGTAGTGGCTAAGCTGCTTTTGCAGCAGACTTCAGCAGAGACAGTCTATCATGTCCATTTCGTCTAGCTTTGGACAGAGAGCAATTTCATTCTACAACTCCATGAAAGATTAAAAAAAAATAAGAAAAAAAAAGAAGAAGAAAAAAGGAGAAAAAAACACATTCCAAGCAAACATGCATCAACATGTACACACGCTAGAAGCCTCGGGAGTTCATAGAAACTGGACCCACCCAAGGCAAGTTGGGTGCCCCTTGAACAAAAGCAGCTAGACCGGTTGTCGGCAAGATTCGCCGGCTTTGCACAGAGCAAGCTGTCTTTCTATGCAATTTCTTGGCGCAAGTTTCTCTGCACAAGTTCTCTGAGCAAGTGTCTCCGAACAAGTTCTGTGAGCAAGTTTCTCTAGGCAAAAAATGGGTAAAGCACTTCGATGAAAGATGATAACGGAATATCTAGCTCTTGCACACAAGAAATGCATATGTTCTGGATTCAAGATTCTCAATAGTCAGTTTAAGCCTATAGTCTAGTGTATGAAGCCATGTTATTCTGGTTTTGGACACATCGTAATTCCAGTAAAACAAGAAACTAAAACAAGCATTCCAAGCAAGATGTAGACATGCCAGACACCCGGAAATTACAGACACGTGACCAAGAAAGGAAACTTGAGTATCCCTGGAACAAAAAAGAAGCCTCTTTCCAAGATTCAAGAATCACAATTGCCCAGGAAAGCTTTGTCCACTTGCCCCTTGGTTTTGTGTCTGCTGAATCTAAACATTTCGATACAGTACGTAGATCCGCAATGCACTTCTGATTTGAGGGGAAATCATCTCTTTGAATGTCTCCCCGCGAGATCTAAATACCGGTATTAAGGTTTCTTAGCACTGTCATGCAGTGTCCTAAGATTGCTGGGGGACTTTGGGAGAGAAATCTTGGATTGCCCCCCCCTTGAACCCTTAATACCGGTATCAAGGTTTCTTAGTACTGTATGTAGTTTCTTTATACCGGGTATTGAGGAATCTGGGTCCAAAATCCAAGATCCAAGATTGTTGGGGAACCAAGATCCAAGATCAAAACATTGCTGGAGGCCTTTGAGGAAAACCTTAGATCCTTGAATGCCCCCCCTTGAACCCTTGATACTGGTAGCAAGGTTTTTAGTACTGTGCGCAGCTTTCTTAATACTGGGTATTAAGGAATCTGGATCCAGCCGGCACCAATCTTTCTTTCAGGGTTCCATTTTGGGATCATTTGGGGATTCTTTGGTGAAGACAGTGAAGACAGACAAACGCAGATGCATTGCCGAGATCAGCTGGGTTTCCCGCCATTGGTCGCCCTCGGGCGGCTCAAGCCTGCAGTCGCCCTGCGCGTTGAATTTGTTCTGTGTCCACATGCGCGTACCATGCTTTGCGGTCGCAGACCCCCCAAATGAGTCGCGGGTCGCCTCTGATGTCCCTTCTCTGCCACTTCAAAATGGTCACAAACTCAAAAACCAAGGCAGCGCCTCGGCTGTGTACACTATGGTTCCCATGCCACTGGCCCTGGCAAGCAGTGCCTGGCACGTGCAGGTTTCAATTTGGGGTGTGTGCGACAATGTCCACCTATAGCAAATGCCCGTATCAAAGGCTGAAAAACAATCTAAAGAATTGATTAACTTCGAACAACCCCCACCTAAAACATTTGCTTGGCTAGACTGGACTGAATCAATGCGCGCGCTCTGTCCCAACACTATTCGCCGATACGGCTCGACGTCACCCAAAATCCAACACTGTCAAACCTGTCGCGGGAGCAAAGTTGATGCAAATCTCATGGTTCCTGCCCCCAAGTTCAATGTTGAAGGCTGGATTGTTCAAGGCATTCATCAAAAACCCGCCATTTCGGCAAATACCTGGCCAAGCTGTCGGCTTCAACGTTGACATAGGGGCTAAGGACTCCCATCTGCTGCCCGCTTTGCTGATGGCAATTTTCAAGCGGCGTGATTACGACGCTGCTGCGATTGATTAGGATGAACGCTGCCTTGCTTCCATTTTGGTTCGACTGGGTTGGATCGCCATCGCATCAACACGCAGTCGACTTGACCTTTTGACGCCTGTGCGGTTGCAGCCTAGTCTGGCCGAGCAAAATTCTTAGGTGGGGGTTGTTCAAAGATTTGAACAACCCGGGAAGACTTTGTGCGAAGCAGTCAGTCACCTGCCAATCAGCTCCGCAACCGCGCAAGTTCCGCTAGAATCTACCAGGCCCTCGAGTTGCGCAGGTGACATGCCACACACACACACACACACACACGCTCAACCCACACAAGCGTGAACACACGCAACGCGGCACGCTGCACAGCCAACTTATAGGGGATTTATTGATTTTTTGTCTGTCGTGACG